CGCATGAAAATTTGCATTTGTAATGTTGCGGGCAGCCTTTTTTCACGGTTTTTCTGACCAAAGCTGCATCGTCGGACGGTTCTTCTGACCAAAACTCTTTGTTTTTTGTGAAAATTGTACGGGAATATCGCATACCCTCAACCTTCCTGGGATGTATTTGGACAGTCTGGAATAGCTGTTACTTCAGAGAATCGTTCATCTATGCCATTAGCTATTTTTTCACTCCAACAGTTGCGTTGACCAGTGCTGCATCGCCTGGTAGTCAGCTTGCTGGCGATCCTAACATTAGTTCTTCCCGCGGGAAGATGTGGGAGTGGGAGGAGAGGATTTACCAGTTCAGTGATTCCCCCTGAGAGAAGCAATTGGCAAGGCTTTAGCGATTCCAAGATATCCTGATCGTGAATACTACCGTTCTTAGCTTACGATATGATATTTTAACAAATTAAGAACTTCAAATAAAGTTGCCCGGTATGTTCGAAGATGTAGTTTTTCATAGAATGCCACAGGTTTAACTATGTAGAAAACCAGTTTCTGTGATATTTTCAATCAGCTCGAGCATAAAACTCACTTTACACTTATGTACATTTCGTAAAAATTACATTTCCAGATGCTGGAATTGGGCAAAATGCGTTATGTAACAGTCCGCTCATTCAGAGGCAAACCACTTATCGATATTCGTGAATATTATTTGGACAAGGTTCGATTTTAATGAAAAATTGCAATCTCAGTATCATAGGGGTTATTGCTGACATATGTCCTCTGTCGGAGCTGTTTGAATTAGTTCCTTTAAATTTGACGATTTGCCTGACAAAGCAATGTCGCATTGCATATTTTGTCTGATCCAATGATTTACTAGTGCAAAGGATCATACTCTAAGCACTTAAACTGTGAGTAGCGAAATGAGCTTAATCTATCGCGGCCCTAAAAGTTAATAAACTAGACTAGTGGCGTGCCTTCTGTGTGTGACTAAAATTAATAAACACCTGGCTGCATATATGTATATATAATAAATACATATACATATGTATGTGTATTTATTTATTTAATTAATTAATTCAAT